TCCGAGCTGGCTGTGTATAGTTTTACATACTCGGCGGTATAGGTGTCGAGAAATGTTTGTACTTCTGAATTACTGCTACCAATGCTGGCTTTGTTGCCGGTATCATTACAGGCAGTAGCTATCAGCGCAGTAGCTATAAAAGGTAGGATGGCTTTCCTGAACATAAAAAAATAAACATTTGAGCATTTAAAAGTAATCATTAGCCGTTCAATCTTGTTCATCTAAAAAAAATCCTGTGGTTTATGGTATTGATAAATGCTTTGCAATAACGCTGATAAACCTTTCTAACATAGCAACATCAACCATTGAAGCAACGCCCGATTGCCGTGTGAGTGGTTATTTTGCCGTAGTTTTATGCCCGCTAGTTTTTCAACGAAATTTTTTACATCCACAATGGCTTTACAACAAGGTACTGTTGCTCCTGATTTTACGGTGAATAACCAGGATAATGAACCGGTTTCGCTACACGACTTCAAAGGCCGTAAAGTGGCGCTCTTCTTTTATCCCAAAGACAATACTCCCGGTTGTACCGAGCAGGCTTGTAACCTGAGAGACAATATAACCTCGCTTACCGGCAAAGGAATTGTGGTATTAGGTGTGAGCATTGACAGTGAGCGCAAGCATAAAAATTTTGAAAAGAAGTTTGGCTTTCCCTTCCCGCTGCTGGCCGATACGGAAAAGAAGATGGTCTCTGCCTACGATGTATGGGGCGAGAAAAAGTTTTGGGGCAAAACCTATATGGGTACGCACCGCGTCACTTACCTGATCAACGAACAAGGGGTTATTGACCATGTTATTGATAAGGTGGAGACTGCCGATCATGCCGCCCAGATCTTAAAAGAGTGGGGGTTATAGTGCCAGCCGTGTACTCCCGGTTTATTCATACTTTTTAATGGTCGTATTGTTCATCACTTCCACAAACTGGACTTCCTTATCGGCAGACATGGCAAAGGCTATTCCCCCGCGCATAAATGCCAGTTTGGACAAGCTATCGGGTAAATAATTGCTGATGTACCGGCAATTTTTATTGTAGATATATTGTTTTATCTGGCTGGCCTGGTAATCATCTGCTACCAGGTAAAGATTTTTGTGTTCACAATACTTAGTAAGCTGCTGTATAAAATAGCCAAAGCAGGGAGCGCAGGCTTTGGGCGAGAGAATAAGATAATAGGCCGTATCTGCCGGTAAAACCTGCTGCGCACTGCCGACTAAAAAATGCTGAAAACTGCGTATTGCCAACGGCTTAACGGGCTTGGTCGCAGGACTACATGCGCTAAGTGCTGCGATAACAGCAATAAAAATGCACTTACTT